AGGGGGAAGGGAGAGAGTGAAAGAGAGATCTGGGTTTTAATGTTGCATTTTGGTCACTTCATACTTTTCTCCATTATCATAGATCACCCAATTAAATTCAACAATTTATGTCTTTCTGAATCATCAATAGGGATAAGCTGGAGTTAAAAGCTGTCAATGATGGATCAGCAAGCTATGCAGCATTGGAGAGGAAAGCTGAGTTGTATGAGAAGCTGGTCAGGGGAGAACTTTCTGACGAGGAAGATAAAGAGAAATATTGTGTTGATTTTTTCAGGAAGGGACTTGAGCATGATGAGTTGCAGCAGCCTCAAGGGAATACATCTTCTAACACGGAATGGCACGATGAAGATGGTGGAGATGATGGTTCTGTGGTACCTATCATTAGACCTGTTGGACTTGGACAGACTGCTGCCACTGTGGACAGAAGTGAACATAAGCGTTTTGTCATGTAAGTTCAGAAATTCCTAAGCAATTTATCTTCTAAGTTGGAGGAACTGCTAAATGTGTTATATTCACAGCTTAAGTAAATTGAGAAGAAAACTAGATCATTAGATTGCCTGTTGATTGTGGATCCTTCTGTTCTGCAAGCAGTAATCTTTATAGGGGAGTACATGGGATAAACTTTTATTAACATTTTTGAGTTTCATGATTTTTTTTAGCCTAAAGAAACTGAAAATAGAGTCTACTCCAACTCCCCCTTCTGGATGGTAGTGATGCGTCCAATACTAAAAGTTAAAAGCAGAAAATTTGAAACAAATAATTAATGTTTCTCTTTTTTGCTGGTTGGTGTATAGTTGGTTACTTGGTATGCCAACAATACACACAAATCTAATTTAAAGATTAAGGCGTGGTTTCTTCACTTTAGAAAGTTAAAGACCAGCATAAACTGTATTCTTCCGTCAAAGTATTAGAATGAAAAACGGGCCCTTCTCTTGGGTCCTGTCTGCCAACTTCATTCAGGAAGACAACTGATTCTCTGATGGTTCAACAAGCTTTTGCATGTATGTGTATGTTACTTTTAGGATGCTTCAAATAAAATAAGCATTTTTCCCGAATTACTCAAATTTGCTGATTTTTTAAATTGAGTAGCACTTTGGAGATGCTTTTTCAAATGGTTTTTTATTTTCTTTTCAGTTCTTTAAGGAGAAAGATGTCTTTTCAATTTTCCCACAGCTATTTGCCTACCACTTTTATTTAAATTTTAAACAAATGGATGAAGCCCCATGTATAGGTACTTTTGTTTTAATTGCTGTAACAAGGCTAAATTGTAGTTTTTGTTCACAACTTAAAAAGGATGGAGTAATGATTGAGACCCCAATGATGGAGGCAATTAAACGATCCAGCGGAACGTGTTCTGCGCAATGTTCCTTTTGTCAACACCGGTTGTAATTAATGTCGCAATTTATACAGAGGATTTTTAATGTCACAATTCACGATCCTGAGATATTGTTCATGTTTGAAGATTAAAATGCATAAAATATGGTTGCTTAAAGGAAATTGCAACAAATATAGAAGCACACACCCATTAAAATTTGGTTGCTTTTAGAACACTGAGGGAGTATAAATTTTGTAAGAGCTCCTTGAACTTTTTAACTTATTTTCCTAATGTGTTCACAGAAGAAATTCAAGATTGCGTTTCCCCTCTTCTCTGCTTTGTTTGCACGAATATGTATTCATTTTTCTGGAAAGGGTCCTTTAGCCGGGGGGAAAAGGGGTTATATTGTTCAATATTGTATTCTGGGGCTTTGAGTAGCTGCCTCTTTTTTTTTTTCTTTTTTTTTGCCTTGCCTAAGATTTTATATCTTGGAAGCTATTATGGAAGATGGTGCTCTTTAATGCCGAGTTGTATCCTTATTCTGAAAGCAGTGACAAATAATTTGGCAGTAAATCTGGGGAAATGGGGGAAGCCGGGAGGGGGGGGGCTCTGTTTTAAAATAGATGTTGTACTTTCACTTTCTTAATAGGATGTTTCAGTTGTAAATTCATTGAAATGCTTTGCTTAGTTATAAATTAGTAGCTAACTTGTTCCCTAGCTTTTCGTTGAATTTAAACTACCTAGAATAAGGTTTCAGTGTTTGCATTTGGGTTTGTACAACTGCGCTCTTGAGCATGCACTTATAATGTGTGGCATGTTAAATTAGGACATTTGTTTTGGACTGGTCTGTACGGTATTTTGTGAAGTTCTTGGGGAGAGATGTGCGATGCTGAATTAGAAGTTTTGTTATAATGAGGAAAAGCAAAGGAACAAACAGAGAAAAATGAATCAAAATTTAAGATGCTGTAATTTTTTATGTTCCCTGGTGAATGTTATTCGTGAAATAGTATGGCGTATATATACAACTTATCTTTTGATATTGTCCTTTACTGTTCACATTTTCAGTTATCTTTCAGTGGTTGATTGCAGCCAACGAGGATGATTTGTGTGTGTGTGTGTGTGTGTGTGCTGGTGGTTGTGTTACTGGAAATGGGTGCTCAAATCTCTTGAATTTGTGTAGTCCGAAAGTTTTTGTTATAATAGCCCATATTGAAGTTCTTGAAAAAGGAAAAGAAGTCCCAGGTGATAAATTGCTAGATGCTAGAGATCCTTGTAAGCGCTACAATTTCATATTGTGGGATATAACTAACCATTATAAATTGAGGATATTCTATAAAATAGCTCTTGCTGTCTCGTTCCAGATGATATATTTGGATATCTTGTTTGTCATAATTATGAACCTTCTTTTTATTATAAATGTCCGACATATTATTACTATATTCCCCATAAACTTCCCACTTCTTTTGTTACTCAGGGAAGTGCATGAAGAAGCAAAACTGGCGAGGGAAAAAGCATCTGATCTCAAAATTAGGAGGCAAGAGCAAGCTGCGGCTCGTCAGGAGAAATTAAAGCGGGCCTATTTAAAAAAGCAGCTTGAAAAATTGAAAGCTTCCTCTAAAGGAGACCAGATTTGACCAACATAGGGTGAAAACTAATTTCATCTGCTTAAAAAAGAATTTTAAACGCGAACTCAATCGCTTGAAAATGGTCTTTTATATTTCATTCCATAACTACATTTCTAGTTATTTAGTGGCATTATGTGAGTTTCAGAATTAACTACTCAAGCAGAATAATTTTGTCTCACTGCTACTCACCATTTACTTGTAGTATATCTACAACTCAATGATCTGAGCTGTTTGGTTTACAGATCTGGAAATTGATCATTACCTGGTGTTAATGAGGGATTGAATGAGACTGAAGTTCATCCAAAGTCAAGTCAGTGTTCCCTTGGTGAAAGCTGGGGCATGAGATCAAGCCTTGAAGACTTGTATTACTATAATCCCAATACCTGATTGCCAGTGAAGGCTATACCTGAGATCGTCCATTTTGTCTATCCATTGTTAAAGCATCAGCAAGTTTATGTATTTAGGTGCTTTCAGTTCCTTTGATCATTCCAATTTGAGGAAACTGGCGAGGAACTTGTTGAAATGGACTGTGCCTGGAAGACCAACTGCATTCATATTTGGCCTGATGACGGATTGAAAACAGATTACCTGTATAGAAAAAATGCAAAAGAAGTTGCGCAACGGATAGTCCTCTGAATGCGAGGAGATGTAATTGTTTTTTATTGGTTTAATGATAATTGATTTCATTGGGATGGTTTTTGGGGATGATAACCAAGGGGTCTTGTCTTGTTGGTTAAAAGTAAGTTGTTTAAACTGAAGCTATTTTTTTGTATTTGATCAGGCTTTTTCTCAAACTGAAGCTGATTATAGAAAAAAGGAGCCATGAGGCGTCGTCGTCAAATGCTTCTGCAATCAAAGAAGTTTACGATTGAAGCAAACTTCCGATTTTGTAAAACAGATTTTCTGAAATCACTTTGTAAAGCGGTTTAAGAAAAGGAAACAGATGTGAATGTAGTCAGGCTCCTAGCGCGAGAGATATGTTATCTGGACCTTATGAAAGGTTCTTTAATTAGCATATACAAGTAGAGAAGTGTTAACTTTGATGATATAGAATGTTCTTTCTAAAATTGTTACATATTACAGGAGTGCGTCATGGCGATCATGATGTATACGTTGCTTAGGATGGCTGTTAGGAAACCACATCTACATTTGAGCTTATTTAAGATGGTTTTGTAATCATTCTTGGTTATCATAGATGTTTATGAATAATAATTCAAGTAAATTGCTTTGTTTTACTTCCAGATTACCTTCAACATCAAAGTACTACATGCTTTTAGTATTGGTTTGTATAATTTTCACTTTTCCACATTTTAAAAGCAACCAGAACTAAGAACAGACAATGGTTTTCTCATAATTGCACAACATTTTGAGAAGATTGGAATAGAGTATGCCAATGCAAGGCAATAAATTATTTCTCTGATCTTCGGTTATGCAGAGGTTATATGCCTTGTTGGATTGTGGGTGATGGTGGACAATTTTGGAGTTCAAAATGTTAGAAGTATTAGGGCATCTCCAACGGTGGTGTAATGTCTGACATTGTAATGGGTTATTACACGGCCACAATGGTGTGGCCGTGTAATACCCATTACACGCATCATGACCCATTACAAAATTAAAGGGCCGGACAAAATTTTGGCCAACAACTTCGATCAGGTTCATTTTTTGCAACGGTAAATTTGCAACGTTAATTATTCAACGGTCAGATTTTAACTCTCTATATAAACATACAACACACTTTTTTTTTTATATCCCACTATTCTACTCTATTATTTCTTTTACTCTCTCACTCATTTAATTCATTTTTTGTGATTATGGATGAAAATTTTAGTAGTTTTACAAATATGTTAAATGCTCCAAATATAGAAAATTCATCATCCTCACAAAATCAAAACCCCCAAATTTTCCAAATTACCCATTTTCTGGTATTCCTACAAATGTGCAAAATTATGCAATTTCCCCTAAATTTATCCACTTCCAATCATCCATCAAATTTCCAAAATCTACCAAATTTTTCATATCCAAATCCCATGTATCCTCCACCTACTTATTTTAATCCAAATATGGGAAATCACTACACATTGGGGTATTATAACTTTGGTATGGCTTGTGGAGGCTTAAATACTCCGTCGGAGATAATGAAGGATTTTGATTTCGCCGGCCAACAAGAAAATGCTGCATCAACGGAATCAATGCCGGACTCTCAATTTCCACCATATTCAACACAACGTGGGGTGGATAACATTACTCTCACCAATAAGTCAATGGAAGAATCTGATTATAAACGCGTTCCATGGAGTGTTGATGATGACAAGATGCTTGCAAGTGCTTGGCTCACAATTTCTAATTGTAGCATTGTGGGTAATTCTCAAAATGATGAGAGTTTTTGGAAACGAGTCACGGACTACTTCAATGAGAATCGGCAATTTGGGCCGCCAAGAAAATATAAAGCTGTGAAGTCACATTGGCATTGGTTGAGTCGAATGGTCAATGAATTCAACCAATACTACAACAAATTGGTTGGAGAACATCATAGCGGATGGAATGATGATCAGATCAAACAACATGCATGAGAGCTTTTTCACCAGAATAAGAATAAGCATTTTGTACATGAACATGTATGGGTGCTGTTGAAAAATGATCCGAAATGGAAAGCAAATACTCCTATGCAGCGTTCTTCAAAAAAGGTAAGGACTAATGAAAGCGGGGCATACACTTCTTCATCTAATGTGGATTCAAGTTTTGACATCGATGACAGTGAAGTACGTGAAGTTCGTCCACTTGGTCAAAAAGCAGCAAAAAAGGGAAAGAGAAAGGGAAAATAAAAAACGAATGAGCAAGATGTGGGTGGAGAACTTAGTCAAATCCGGAGATGTTGAAAGATAACAAAGAAGAAAAATTGCAAGCAATGGAAAACTTAGCAAATAAGTTAGACAATTATAATTTCCGAAGTGATTATGAAATCCTATTGAAGGATACCACAGGCATGTCCAAGCAGCAGCTTAAAATTCATGAGCATTATGTTCCATCCTAAAAGCCAAGTATAATGTTCCTTAGTTTAGTTTTAATTTCATGGTCTGTAATGTAATTTTTTAATTTTCCATTTTGCATTTGAGTGCTTAATAACTTGTTTGCAATATGTACTTATAGTTAATTTTGCATTTTACTATTTTTATTATAATTTTAAAACTAGCCGTTGGAAACTAGCCGTTAGAAATTAGCAGTTAAAAACTAGCCGTTGGAAACTAGCCCTATATATATATATATTAGTGAGACTCCACATATTGAAACCATAAACTCAACACACTCCAAAATGTCTCAATATCCTAATCCCTCTCTTATAGAAGAAGTAAAAAAAATTTTAGCCGATGAAATGGAGGACGACACAGAGGATCAAATTATGATGCTGTTGGAGCAATGGCAAATGCACCACACTACTTCAAGTTCTAATATGCATCCACGTAGTCGAAGATATTATGATCGAGAGCGGGGTGTCGGGCATGTCCGGCTCTTTAATGATTATTTTGCCGACAATCCAGTTTATCCTTCACATATATTCCGCCAACAGTTTCGAATGAGAAGAGAATTATTCCTTCGAATTGTGAAGTCCATTACAAATCATTCTGAGTTTTTTCGAATGAGGATTGATGCAGCAGGCAAAAAGGGACTTTCTCCTCTTCAAAAAATCACGTCAGCTATCCGACTGTTAGCATATGGAGCACCGGCTGATCAGTTGGACGAGTACATAAGGATGGGTGAAACTACTACAATCGAGTGTTTGTCACAATTTTGCCGATGTGTGATTGATATTTATGGGGCACAATACTTGAGAAGGCCTAATGCTAATGACGTTGAACATTTACTTAATTTGCATTCCGAGCGGCATGGCTTCCTTGGCATGCTTGGTAGCATTGACTGCATGCACTGGCAATGGAGGAATTGCCCCATGGCATGGAAAGGTCAATTTGCTCGAGGTGATCAAGGATCTCCCACAATAATGCTAGAAGCAGTAGCATCAGCCGATTTATGGATATGGCATGCATTTTTTGGTGTCGTGGGGTCTAACAATGACATCAATGTGCTCAATCAATCTCCACTATTTAACGACGTATTGCAAGGATACGCTCCTGATGTTCAATTTATGGTAAATGGCACCCAATTCAGTAAAGGCTATTATCTAGCAGATGACATATATCCAGAATGGGCAACATTTGTTAAAAGTTTCTCATCTCCTAGAGACCCAAAGAGGATCAAGTTTAAACAAATGCAGGAGACTGCAAGGAAAGACGTTGAGCGAGCATTTGGAGTGCTCCAATCTCGTTGGGCTATTGTACGTGGTCCTGCTCGATTTTGGCATAGAGCAAAACTCAAAGATATAATGTACACATGCATCATATTGCACAATATGATTGTCAAAGATGAAGGAGATGCAATAAGAAACTGGGATGCTGACGATGACGATCCAACGATTCCTGTGACTCAAGGTTTGGCTGAAAATTTTCAATATTACCTTCAGAGGAACGCGGAATTATGTGATCGAGAAGTACATCATCAACTTCGATCAGACTTAGTTGAGCATATTTGGGAACGATTCGGAGGCAATAACAATGAAAACTAGTATTCATTTTGTTATTTGATTTAAATTATGTAATATTATGTTATGGAGTTCAACTAATTACATTCCGAATTATTAATTAAGTATGGATTATTATGATATCTTCGCATTTGAGGTATCAAATATTTGTTTAATTTTCTGCATAATTATTTTTCAAAAAATAACAATATATTATTTTTGAGAGATAGAAAAGATATATTGTTCAAACTTAAAAATTAATAATATCATTTTTAGAAAATAAAAAATTCAACAGGTAAAAAATTTAATGAAAGTTAATACTTTATTTTTTAAAAATAACAAAATTATTTTTAAAAATTACTTTATTTATTTATGGGATATGAGTTATGCATTATTAAAATAAATATTTGATTTAATTGTGAACCCATGTTATTACACCTTGTGGAGTGTAATCCATTGTGAGTGGAAGTGTAATAAAAGAGAAAAAAATGGAATGCTGACATGACATGTGGATTACACTCTAAAGAGTGTAAACCATTGTGGATGCCCTTAGTAATTTATCACATTTTTAACATTTGGTGTTCAAATAATTGCCATTAAATGCTTCTCTGAAGAAGCATTTATGATTTCCGTGACTGTTGAACTTAATTGTTACAGCGAAAAATGTTTTGGCTGTCTTTTTATTCTCTATTAGAAATGGGATTAGGATTCTATCCTATTCAAATTCAGTTTCATTGCTAAAAGATCCAAATTAAATTTCATCCCAATTCCAAGTCTCCCATTCCGATGAGAAACAAACATGGCATCTGGAGTTTGTGCGCACGCGCACAGAGACGTACAAAATCTAACCATTTACCGTGCAGATTTAGCATGAGAACACTGGTCTGCCTTGCTAACCCACACCTGGAACTGATTACTCATACAAGATTGTCAACTCAGAGATTTTCTTTCTACATTTTTGTGCGAGTTGAAGCGCCATCTGGGCTTAAAGCATTTGTATTATTGTCTCCATGTGGAGTTGTCTAATTTTATGAGCATCTTTTACAGACTGGTCATTTATAATATGAGACAATCATATCGAAGCATCTTTGTTTTGCTTGAATAGAAGTTCAATAGGTGCAATGGTACAGAGACATTTTTGTTATAAATTGCAGTGGAAATGTGCTTCCAACCCGAACAAGTAATTATTCAAAGATTACTTGTATGATTATTCACGATATAATACTAAAAGGGACCATTGTCTCTATATAATAATAGCAATAACAATAATAAAGAGAACAGTGTGTGTACCGCATATAGCTGTAATTGCACCAATTAGACCAGCCTAGACAGAGCCACAGAGGACTCAACTGAGGCATCAAGAGCTTCTGACAACCAAAACACAGAATAGCTGGAAGATTCTTCCTTTTCCACTTACCATTTCCTATAAAAACAGCCCTTTCCATGCCATTTCAATCACACAAAGCCTCTTTACACTACAAATTCTCACTACAGGCATTTCTTTCAGCTCACTCAGCCACTTTATTAAGCATGAAGAGTGGAAAGGCAACCATGGCTGTGACCATTTGCATCATGGTTTTTATGGCTATTGCCACCATTGGAGCAAATGCTGATCACCATGAATTTGGAGCTCCTGCACCATCACCTGGGATGGAGAGTTCCGGGGTTGCTGTATATGCTCCTGTAGTACTGGCAGCCATGGCTTCTTTGGCTGCCTGGCTGCTTTGAGTTTTCCCCTTTCTTTCTGAATATTGTAAAAATGGGAGTCAGATTATCGCATTCTGTTACCAAATCAAACTTTTGATCATTCAGCCTCCCAGGCTTTTCAGCTAGAAGCTGCATTTCAGTGTCCTCAGTTTAATAAGATTACCTTCTTATTAATTGTCTTATTTTATAAAATGTCCAACCTAAACTTGGAAAATGGACCAATATTAAGATTTTTAAGGTACAAGCATCAGAGGAACCATCTTTAGCATGAATTTCTCTGGATGTTCTGAGCAGAAAATGTGACATGTTCAAGGACAGACACGAATAGCCTTCCATGGTTTTTTTTTGTTTTTTTTGTTTTTGTTTTGCTTTCTATCCATTATTATGAGAGGTGAAAGGTAAACCGTAACTTATCCCTGCAAATGCAACACTTCAGAAAGGAAACTAGAGGATAGATACGGGAGCAGTAGAAACTATGGTAACCAAGCCAAAAGTTGAGAAGACTTTAAGCTGATAGATAGGAGAAATATTAGAAAACAGAGACTAGAAAAAGACTGGTAGATGAGTATGAACAGAGTATGTCACTGTGAATGTGGAACAAAGGTCATGAGCTGCATGACTTGCTCATACATCAGACTTTCAAATGCAACTGAATTCACCAGACTTCTCATTATGCCCCTAATGAGTTGATGGTACGAATAGAATGATATATCTACCACAATCAGCATGACATACTATATCATAATTATGGTTAGTCATGGTGGGCATTGGTTAGAAAGGGTTACAACCGGTTTACTTCCATTCTATCCAATATATAGGCCTCCAAGTGAAGCAGGAGAAATCAGTCATCCCAAACGCGTATATTTGTGATTTTTACAACATGAGACCAGATTATATTCATATTATTTGGCGTTAATATCTGGGGTGGTCATTTTTTCAAAAATCTAGGGAAAGCCACATTGATTCTATCCTAATACTCAAGTAGAACTTTTTCTGCTTCTTCTGACTGTAGGCTAACGTAACAAGTTGCCTAACTATAATAATAACTATTCTCCAGAAAAGTACATTCCTCTATGCGTGAATCTTCTAGTGACACGTCATGTCTAGTGCTTCAGGAGCTTGAAACTGAGCATCACATTCATGTATTCAAGTTGCTTTTTGTCCCTCATGCAAAACATATCAACCAGGTACAAAATCTTTCAGCAATTGTTTCAATCAAGGGACCAAGTAACATCAATCACATCAAATAATGTAAAAGTTCATCTTAATGTGGTTCCTTTCCCATGATAAACA